CCCCAGCAGCCCCCACCAATACCCCTGCTATCACCCAGCATCCCAGAACCCCTACCAGCACCTCAGTACCTCCGCCAACACCCCAACACCCCTGCCAACACCTTAGCATCCCCACTAGTACCCCTGATAACACCAGAGTACCCCTGCCAGCACCCCTACTATCACCCAGCACCACCACTAGCACCCCAGCACCCACTCAGCACCCTAACACCCCCGCCAGCCTCCCAGCACCCCCCACTGGCATCCTGCTAGCACCCAGCAACCCAGCACCCCTGCCGGCATCCCAGCACCCCTGCCAGCACTCCTGCTAGTATCCAGCACCCCACTAGCACCCCAGCACGCCCACCAGCACCCAAACACCCCCCACTGGCACCCCTTCTAACACCCAGCACCCCAGCACCCCACCAGCACCCCTGCTAGTACCCAGCACCCCAGTACCCCCACCAGCACCTCAGCACCTCCATCAGCACCCCAGCATGCCTGCCAATACCCCAGCACCCCCACTGGCACCCCTGCTAGCACCGTAGCACCCCCACAAGCACCCCTGCTATCACCCAGCACCCCAGCATCCGTGCCATCACTCCTGCTATTGCCCAGGACCCCAGCACACTTGTTAGCACCCCAGCACTCCCCACCAGCACCCTGACAGCACCCAGCACCCCCACCAGCACCCCAAACTCCTGCTAGCACCCAGCACTCTGCCAGCTCCCCTGCTAGTACCCAGCACCCCAGCCCCCCGCCAGCACCTCAGCACTGCTAGCACCCCTGCTGGCACCTAGCACCCTAGAACCCTGCTAGCACCCCAGCAGCCCCTGCCAATACCCTAGCATTCCCACTAGCTCCCCTACTAGCACTCCAGCACCCCCGCCAGCACCCTATCATCCAGCACCCCAGCACTCCCCACCAGCACCCTAGCACCCCTGCTGGCACCCCAGCACTCCCGCCAGCACCCCAGCACCTCCACCAGCACCCCTGCTAGTACCCAGTACCCCAGCACCCCCACTAGCACCCCAACACCCCCACCAGTACCCTAGCACCCCTACTTGCAACCCAGAGCCCCCTGCCAGCACCCCAGCACCCCCACCAGCACCCTAGCTAGCACCGCAGCACCTCTGCCAGCACCCCTGCTAGCACCCAGCACATCAGCATCCCTGCCAGCACCCCAGCACCCCCACCCACAACAAGCAGTCCAGCATCCCCACCAGCACCTCAGTGCCCCCGGCAGCACCCAGTAGTCCAGCACCCCTTCCCCCAGCATCCCATCCCCACTGGTCCAAGAAGGCTGACAGGGACCTGCCTTTCCAGAGTCAGGCCTGAACATTTTTTAAGGGACAAAGAAAAATGGAGGAAAGGCCAATACCCAGAGGAAAGATAAGAAGTCTGGGGGGGCAGGGAGCTCCGGGAGGGGCGGCGGGGACTCACCCGGGGTCACAGTCCATAAGGCTGGCAGGGAGGGGGCAGCAGAGGCGGGTCAGAGAGGCCCCTTGGGGTTAATGCTGCAAAGAGCCTGCCTGGCAGGAGCAGAGTGGGACACCGGGAGAGTGCCGGTGAGGCCGGGTGGGCGAGGTGCCCTTTGCGGAGCCCCCACCAGGCTGTGTTGCAGGAGGACAGAGGGGCACAGACCCAGGGTGGCACCCTGGAGGGCCTGGGACTGGCTGGATGGAAATGCAGAGCCCCAGGCCACCTCAGATCCAGAACTACGTTCACGAGTTGCTTGTGATCTGCTCACATGGGCACAGGAAGCCCTGGGGAGTCACTAGCAGGGGACAAGGAGCCAAGTGCATGGTTTGGGAGCAATGGGTGGAGGCAGCCTCTCCAGGCAGAGCTGGGGGACTGGCTGCAGGGCCATGGAGAAGGAGGGGTGCCTGTGGGCCTCTGGTCCCCCAGGGCAGGCGGGACACGCAGGTTCTCCCGCCTATTCCTCCTCTGCAAAGCCAGGTCCTCACCTGCCCCATATACCCTCTGCCGGCCCGCACCCCCACATCCAACCCCTGGCGCTGTCCCATTCCCAGCAGGGCCCACCTGGGGCCTAGGCACAGAGTCCCTACCTAGATCCAGAGTCCAAGTTCCCCGCGGGGCCCTGCTGGCTCGGGGTCGCCCCCCCCAACCCCCACAGGCCCCCCAGGCCTGGTACCTATGGGCTGTAAGTAGATGTGCTTGCGGGCCTGGCCCAGCCTCCGGGCCGGCAGGGAGGCGTGGAAGGTTTGGAAGTCCTCAGGGGCCTCAGGGCGGCTGAGGAGCCAGTCGAAGGCGGAGCTGATGAGCAGGGAGCAGAAGAGCGTCCTCTGGGGGTTGTAGGCCTCGGCCAGGAAGAGCCTCTCGGCAGGGGTGAAGGTGGCCACGTAGCGCTGCTGCAGGGTGGGGTCAGTGGACACCAGCGCCTCCTTCAGGGCCCGCGGGCCGAAGCTGAACTCCTGGGCCGGCCTGCACTGCAGCATGGCGGGCCTGGCCTCTCCGGGCAGCCCCTGCTGTGGCCCATGGACACCCTCGGGGACGGCCACCAGCTCTTCCAGAACCTTCCTGCAGGCCGATGGGAACTGCCGAAAGCTCCCCTCCGACAGATGCTAGGCCAGGGTCCTGGGGCTCCCAGCTCTGCCCTGCGTGGGGTCTCCTTGAGACAGCAAAGGGCTGCGGCACGGACACGTCCAGGCCTGGCGGCACCCTGGGGAGAGAGGGACAGGCCCTGCTGAGCACACTGGGCCCGTTCTCTCCGGCAGGGGAAAGGACCCGGCCCTCCCACCCGGGGGGGGGTGGACAGAAGGACGTATGTCCTCCTGCTCTAGCCCCCAGCCCCTGTCTCCATGGAGACCCCGCACCCACTCTCCCACCCCACCTGCCCTCAGACGCTGGGGGAAGGGCCTCCCCAAGAAGAAACCCAGCCGTTCCTGTCCCTCTGTGCACCCCATCATCTGGGGCCCCGCAGCACCTCCTTGTACCAACTGGAAGCCTTCCGGGCAGGTCCCCGCATACCCGAGGATGGAAGCCTGCTCCCCAAGCCGCCTGGCCGGCCGGGAGCCTGCACAGCACCGGGCCCAGAGGCTTCCCCGCACACGCGAGGCGCGGGCACGCGTGCCAACCACGGAAAGCTATAAATAGGGTGATGGGGCCAAGCCACAAAGAGCGCTTTAAGGGCTGGAACAGACGGGGCGGGGAGAGCAGACGCCGGGGAGTACAGATGGGCTGGGAGGAGGAGACAAAGTCCGTTCACAGATCCGTGTTCTCCTTGCGAGACTGAGTATGGACGCGAACATCCGAGCTCATGGGAGACGAGGCCCCCTCCCTGCACAGGCTCCCTGAAATGCTACCACGTTCCCGGTGGACGACGGGCTCCCGTCTCCATCCAGAGGCGTGTGCCGTGGGCAGGGGGAGCCTCGCAGAGCACGGGGAGCTGACGACGGAGGAAGCCAAAAGACGAACATGTAACAGAGCAGAGCACGGCGGGGTGGGGGGCGGGGATCAGAGCACAGAGGAGAACAGCGCTTGGCCCACTCTCCATTTAGAAAGTCAAGCCAGCGATGCAAAACCCCAAAACAGGAGCGGGCCTTGTTTTGGGCGGAAGAATGGAGAAATGAGTTCACACCCCCTTTGGCTAACCCTGACTTAAAACATTCATCTGGAAAACACACACACAGGCACGTGTGTGTACAGACATCTGTGTAAACCCACGCCAATATACACACGTATACACCACAGCGTCCTCTGGAATACCCTGACCTGTTTTCCGGAGTTCCTGGGGGACCCGGACGCCCTCAGAGGCGTGTCTTTCCTTCTGCGTGTGTGTTTTAGAACAGAGATCAGGCCTGGTTCTGCACACAAGCTTACATCCTTTCGATTTTGTATATGATGAGCATTTCCCCAAGTCCTTCGACATTTTATGAAAAAACGCCATTTTAGGGGGCGCCTGGCTGGCTCAGTCGGTTAAGTGTCCAACTGTGGATCTCAGGGCCAGGAGTCTGAGCCCCATGTTGGGCTCCACATTCAGCGTGAGACTACTTTTGAAAAAAAAATGCTGTTTTTTCTTGACTGCCCCTCCAAAATGCCGTGATGGACGTCTTGGTACACAGATCTGAGTTTCTGTCCTCAGGAGAGATTCCCAGAAGGCACCACGTGTCGTATGGCCCCACTGTTTTTCAGTCTTGCCAATGACCCTCGAGCTCGAAAGGGTCAGCAGCCAATACAACTTGCCACTGAGTCCCAGGTGGGGTGTCTCTGCTTGAACCCTGGGGGAGGTGGGACCTTTGCTACCCACGTTTCTAAGAGGGAGCAGACAATGTAGAGCGAGGTTCAAACAAATTGTCCCAAGAGCCACCCAGCTGGGAAGAGTGGGGGGGGCAGGAATGCACCTGTAGTGGGCCTCATCACCCAGCGAGGCGGGACCCCATCACCCAGAGCCCCGGGAGCCCCCATCACCTGGAGCAGCAGGAGCCGCATTGCCCGGAGTGGCGGGGGTCCCATCACCCAGAGAGGTGGGCCCCCATCACCCGGACCAGTGGGGACCCCACCTTCCCCACCAGGCTCCAGCACAAAGCTGGCAATTTGCAACAAGGTATAGACATGTGGCTTCCTGGAGAAAGTATCAGCTGCACGAACACACAGACCAAATCATACTGGCCTGTGGAGGGGCCCTCGCAGGCAGGCTCTCCATGGAGCCAGAAGGACCCGAGAGAAGATCTGGCTTTCCGGAGGTGGCTGTGTGGGGAGCGGGGGGCAGCACAGGGTGCACAGGGGCAGCTTCTCTCCTTCCTTTGTCCTTTCCATTGGACGGACAGTCCGTGAGCACCTGCCCACCCATGGGGCTTGGCCAACTCCCCCTGGACCAAACAGGCACAGGTCCCTGGCCTTTGGGAGCTTAAATTCCAGTGACCTAAGGCAGACAGTACAAGGTAGTAAAAGTGGATACGGGTAGGGGGGTGTTAAAAGAGGAAAAATGGCCCCAGGGAGAAAAGGCAGAGCTGGCCGGGGCCCCACTGAGAAGACGATGTCCCCAAAGCCTGGAAGTGGCCAGGGAGGGTCTGGGGCCTGTGTCCCAAGTGAAGGAGCAGGTGCAAAGGCCCTGTGGGTAGCTTCAGGGGCAGTGAGGAAACCAGTGTGGTGGGAGGAGGGATGGAGAGACAGGCACGGATAAGGCTGTGCTGAGAGCTCTGGCCTCCCCCTGGGGGTGTGGGGGGTGCTCCGTGTGCACGTCTTGCCCACCTCCCCGCCAGTGGGCCAGCACCATACTGTGTGGACGCTGGACCCTCTGGCCAGCTTTCCGGGTGGGCTGTGAGCTCCTCGCCATCCAGGGCCCTGGGAGCCGGGGACAGAAGGGCGCTCAGGAGACCCTGGATGAGGGAGTCCTCTGACTTTCAACCCCATTGGCCTCAGTGTCCTCCTGGGCAGGAGGGAGAAGGCACCATCCCAGGCGGAGGACGGGGGACTGCCTTGAGCCCCTGACACCATGCACACTCATGGTTTATTTCTGGACATGGGTGCCCTGGCCCTGTTCCTACGCCTTGCCTCTCCCCACACCTTCCACTCACGAGCGTCCTCGGGGCACCCAGCAAGACTGTGACGCTCTCCCGCCAGCTGTAACGACCCCCAAGTCATTCCCTTGCTGTCCCAGCCGGCCTGGGATCCTTCCGTCATTGAGAGCCGTCTACAAACTAGCTCTCCCAGCAGCCTGGCTTTCCTGGACGCTCGGAAGGGCCTGTGTCAAGGGCAGATGGAAGCAGCCCCAGTCGGCAACCTGCCCCCTGCCAAGCCCACACCCTGAGCCCCCCAGGGCCTCCATCCTGTAAACCGCAAGCTCGGTTTCCTCATGGGAACCCACAACTACCCAAAACGTAGCTGCCAGTATTCACCCACCATATAAGCCTGGGAGACAGAGGCCAGAGAGGGGAAGCCACCTGCCCGGGGATGCACAGCTCCAAGGCTTTGGAGGAGGCTCTCCTGCCTCCTGCTACAGCACCCCTCACTCTGGGCCTCATTTCCAGGTCCTCCTTCCACCCCTGCAGGGGCTATCGTGTCAGTGTGCTCGCCCACACCCCCCGCACCACACTCTGCTCTGGGGTCCATGGCCCCCGGACGCCCCCCAGCCCAGGCACAGCCCGGGGAAATCAAGAATGCCTCCTCTGTACGGAACATCCAACAGCCCTGCCACGTCTGTCCCCAGTGGGAATCGGACCCAAACTGTGAACCTCGGGCTCAGCTCCTCCGTCCCCACAGAACCCAGTCCCGTGGCACAGGAAGGGCCCAGAAGGTGCGTCTGGGAGCCTCAGGCACAGACCCAGGTGCCAGAGTTTGGGGAGACGTGGCCGGCAGTTCCGAAGGAGGCTGGCCAGGCCCCGTGGGCAGCCCGTGATCCCTCCTGGGGCTTTGCTACACAGACAGACCCCGGGGACCCCCAGGAGCTCTGGCACACGTGGGCTACAGCCGCCGACAGCTACCCCCTCTGAACTTAGAACCGAGACACGTGTCAAACACAAGGACAAAGTTCTGCCACCTCCAGCACACGCCCCCATATGTGGCATCACGTGGCCCCTGGAGAAGCCCGCCTACGTGTGAGGAGATAGCCCATTAGGCCTCAGCTTTGTTGTGAGAACAGTTTTGGCCTCGTGGATCCCGCGTTGGGTGTCCAGGATCTACTGAGAACCACGGTCTTCTCTCCGAACCTCCTTCCCTGAGACTCCTGCACACCCGCGGGCAACTGCATGGGGGATGGGGCTGGCGCCAGCCCGCGAAACCCCACGTGCCCTGTCCTGACACCGGCCCCAGCCCCACCGGCCACCGGAGGCCCTAAGAGCCTGGGAGGAGCAGCCACACTGGTCTCAGACACGCTCGGGCTGGCAGGTCACTGGGACCTGAGGCTCCAGCTTGGGCACAAGTCTGTTGGAGTCCCTCTGTCTTTCCGTGCCGGTCCCGGCTGTGCCACCCTCTGGCACGCTCCTCCGCGTACGGGTGAGGATGGCAGGATGCGGGGTGAGGGACACACCTGACCTCCTCTTGCATCGTCCCATGGGAGCCTCTCTGACGTGTGATGTCTCAGGCACTGTGACGGTCCCCGGGCCTCAGATGGAGCCACATGGCTGGACGGCAGCCAGCCGGTGTCTCTGAGCTGTGCCTCACAATGGAGCCCAAGCTCCTACATGCTGACTGCGTCCCCGAAGCAGGGGACGTTGAACTGTGGACACGGGGTGGGACATGTCCTCTCCTGAGGGCAGGGATGACTCTGCACGGCCCTTCCACACTGGGGCCTTGGCCACATTGTTCAGCCGACCCCCCACCGACCTCTGGGGTGCCCATGTCCCCTGTCCCAGCCTCTGCTTTGCTGGAAGGGCAGGCTGCCCAACCCCACAGCACTGCGCCCTTGTCCCTGTCTGACTGGACAGAGGCCCAAGCCTCTGGGCAAGAAACACTCTGATTCTTGTTATTCTGAATACGCTCGGCACAACAGCCCAGC